TGAGAACCAGGGAAGAGGGAGAGTGACAGAAAACCCTTGCCAGTCATTTCCTCCCTCCATCCCTCCTTCCCTCCTTCCCTCCTTCCCTCCTTCCCTCCTTCCCTCCTTCCCTCCTTCCCTCCTTCCCTCCTTCCCTCCTTCCCTCCCTCCCTCCCTCCCTCCCTCCCTCCCTCCCTCCCTCCCTCCCTCCCTCCCTCCCTCCATCCCTCTGTCCCTCCATCCTCCCATTTCTCCATCCATTCTCAGTTTGGCATCTCATTCTGCACCCACAGGTAGGCCTGGGAGCGCTAGCCCTGGGAACAAATGGATGTGAAACACATCCAAGATGTTTTTAGTGCATTCCTCTCTCCTCTGCTCATGCCTAGATTTTCTTCTTTTGTTTAATGCTCGTTAAGAGCAAATGGCTTTACATACTTCTATCACGTAAGCACAGACAGATCAGATATCTGCCCTCCTTCTTTCTAAGTGTGGCAGAGAGTTGGAGAAGGGGAAGAGCAGCACTAGTATACACAATATTTCCAATTTATGCAATCTCCACATGTTTTCAGTTCAGTTATTTCCTGCATCTGATGTGTTTTTCATGGATTTAGTAATCCTCATGGGATTAATGCCTAAGATCTGGCCCCCACCATGAACCCATGGAAACTTTTACAATCCACAGTCCCTTGCACCAAGTAATTCTCCAAGTTTCCTACCCCTTACATGAAGAGCTATATCTTTCTCGTAATACGGTCCCCAGGAGTTTTGATTGATAACTCCATTTCTTTTATTGGAAGAGGTATTAAACGTCCAGTCCTCTCTTACCTTCTACAAGATAAGTATGTTTCAACAGACCTTTAATATCTTCTCTCTGCGGTCCTTTCTTTCTGAATAATGATATTCAGCCTACCCAGTGCTCCCCAGACCTCACCAGCTCCAGATATTTATTCACCTGAGTTGCCCTTCAAATCCTTCCCTGTAATACTGTTTCTATCCTGAGACAAGAAGACCAGGACCACTCATTATATTTACAACTGGCACAAATCATGATTTTATACAGTGGCATGGTGGTGCCATCTAAGAGTTCCCAGTATCTGCTTTGCTTTATTGACTGTTGCTGAACAGTGAGGTGACATTTTTGTAGAGCAGCCTCCCACAGTCCCAAGACTGTGTCATTTCCGCCCCCCAACTCCTCCCTCTCCCCAGACCCCATCCATCTTAAGCAGTAATGGTCAAGGTAGAGCTAATAATTCTAACTTAAGAAACTAAAAATATTTGTAGGAGCAAGAGTGTCTGCCAGACACCCCCACAGGGATGAGCCAGAAATCTCAAGGAACAGGGGTCCATAACAATAGAACAAGACCTTTACAACAGTGTTTGGATACAGAAAGATGGTAGCTAGTGACCTGGCACAGTCTGCTGAGCAGCTGGGCCAGGACCACACATAAACAATTTAATCCAGCACCTCTTTTACTGAAAATGAATAACAAAACCTTAATAAATCAACATTACTTATTGCTGTATTTGGGGTAATAAATTCTTTAGTTTATCAGTAGCTTGTGGCTTCCACAGCATGTTCTTTGAACAGTTTGCCTTTCAGTTACATCCCCTTTCTCTCCTGAACAATAAATTAGCATTCATTTTTTTTTAAAGGAAAAGAGGGGAAAAAGAGGATATATTACAATTTTTTCAAAGCAAAAGGAAAAATGCAACATCTTTTTGACATATATCTTAAAATAATATGAGGATAACTTTCTCTGAGTGTTAGATGCCTATGCATAAATAATAAAGGATGTTATTTACAGTGTTACACAATAAACTAAGAGCGTCTCATTTAACACAATATCCATAAAGACAGTAAATAATGAAAACATCCACATATGTACAAGACATATTTACAATAGAATAGAGAATTACAAATGATGATAATTGGCCATGTTCTTTGTCTGCCCTTCTCTGCAGCATTTCATAGGTGCTTTTATGTTTCTTACTAGAAGTAAGACCCAGGTAATGGTAAGTAGCCACACTGCAGGGCCAAGAAGTGCTCAACAGGCTGAGAGGTGTGTCCTAGGAGGAGACACCAGTTTGCTATCCTGGATGCTCAGGAAACTGCTTGCAGTGTGTGTGAGAGAAGCAGGGAGATGCAGCATTGTTGTTTTGGAGTACTGGAAAGAAGGAGCTTTCCTGTTTCCCTGATAAAGGCAGTGATTGATCTCTTAAACCTGGGTGTGTTGGGGTGGCTCAAGTGAGGAAGGGGATAACTGGGCCAAAAGGAGGGAGTAGGCTTTTCTCTGTTCCATGAGAACCTGTATGGAGCTGTAATGGTCTACACCCCTTAAATAGGCAGGCTGTACCAGGTTGTGCACAACATTATCTAGCTATACACTCTTGAAAGAAACCTTTCATGTTGGAGGAATTCCTGCATATAAACACATACACAGGAAAAACTCATGGCTCAACTTAAATTACATGGAAATAAACCAGGACAATCTTAACAACTCTGCCACCACTGGAATATTTCCCCCCTCTTTAAAGTATGTTTCTTCTTGCCATGACTTTCAGCCAAAGAACTGGCAAGCATCACATAGTGGTGGCTCAAGGGTGTTGGGACTGCCTAGCTCAAAGGTCTGGGAAATGAAGCAAATATCCCCAACAGGGGAGCCGGCCTTTTCCATAGGCACTTGCTGGCTCTGCTCCATGCTGCTGCAGCCTCCAGCCCCTTGGCCAGCAGGAACTGGCTGCAGCCTGCCAGCAGCACCTGTGGCCAGGTAGACTCACTAACTTCTGGGTGTGAACCTGACCGAACGCTCCCAGTGCGGTAAACACAAGCTGAGAGGTGAGGGTCGGTGAACTCTTCCCGCTTCTGTGCGTGCCAAGCCAGGGCAATTCCCGAATTCACTGCTGCATGAATTGTGCTGTAAGGCTGGGTTCTTCACAAAGATCTAAGGGCTTAGGCAGCCATATCCCCAATTGTATTTTCTTGTTCTTAGGTCCATGTGAAGTCTCCAGCCTAATTTCATGCTTGCTCTGTAACACACAGTTATATATTCCGAGGGGTAGGAATAGCAGGAACTGCACAACAATTTGACTTTGAGGCACTGCAACACAAGAGGTGAGACATTTCCCCCTAGACCTATACCAAACAAATCTCACATGTACAGCTCCCAAGTATGGAATTGCTCCTTCATTTTGTACTGTCCCTCCACAATAACAGTGTTAGTAGTCAAATAATCTACTCAACATCAAGGCATGGTCCCTTTCCATCCTCATTAATCTGTCTGGGATATTATAGATACTTAAACGAGAGCTGGCCTTGTGGTTGATATATGCTGGAGGAGTTTACAAAAGACCTGTTTTATAATCTCTATTCTGCAACTAAGATGGGTGATTTTGGGGCAAATCTCTTGTTTCTCTGCCATCCTTTTTCTGTCTCATCTGTCCTGCAAGGTCTTTGCAGTGTCAGAGGCCTTCCTGAAGGGAAGATATTCAAGTGCCCAAGGAAACTCAACAGTGCAAATCTTTTGGAAACTCGTGGCCTTCATTAGGAAAGCCCACCTGACCCTCTGTACTACTGAGTTGCAGAGTTACTGGAGAGATGGATATTCTGCTGCATGGGACTGCAGATAAATAGGCATGACTAAAGGGATGAAAATGAGAATATGGCATATAGAATTTGTAGAGAGCTTTTGTTTCAGTCTGCAAAGGCAAAGTGTGTTCAAGTACATGCCAGCTAGGGAAAAATGGCAAAGGGGACTTAAGTCCAGACAGTATGTATTTGCCATCTTCCACAGATTTCTCAAATAAGCAGTGCTATTCCAGCCACCACATAGCCCAAAGCTGTGCTAGTTTCCTAGCCTTTTGGTTCTACCCCTGATATTCTATTGAACAACTTTGTTTCCTATACTAAGGTTTTTTTTTTTTTTTTTTTTTTTGTTCTTTTTCTGCTGAATCTGGTGTTCATGTAGACTCACTTGTGTTCTTACTAATGTGATATGGTTATTTATACAGTGAGGAACTCACTGATTTTTGTCATCCTGGCAAAGATCTTCTTTTGCTATACTTTGCTTTCAGCCTCAAATCAATAGGACACCTTGTTCAGCAAAACTCTTAGGCACATGCTTAACTTTTTGCATGTGCTGGATGTGTCAATGAGAGTCTAGCACATGCTGAAGGTAACTTTTGCTGGGATTAGCATAAGCATATGCTTGAACAATTTACTGAGTTGGAACTTTTGTACCTCAGGTTTGCATCTCACAAATTTTCCTTGATGTATTTCTCTTCATTTAACTAGGACCAGAATGTGGCCCAAAGGATGAGTGTAGTTTGGCTGAAATTATTTTTGTCTTGACAGGGCTCTTATTTAGAGCTCAGTAATACCTGTAAAACACATGTTCTCATTTTCAGAATCCCCAGAGTCTAGGAAAAACATTTGTTTTCCACATCAATCCTGAGTCAATGCTGTGCCAACTGAACACACAACAAAAAATCAAAAGCATAGAAGAGGCAGAGTGACCCTGACTAAACTGATAGGAATTCAGCACAAAAGAGTCCATTTGCTTCTGTCTGGATGGATGCTTCTACTCCAGCACTGACAGCATCCTTGTTCATTACTAGTCAATGACTTGAAGACTGTCACTGGCTATATAAACACTGATATTAAATAGTCACACATGGGTTACTAGAGCTGTAACTCACATGGTGTGCTTGCCTTCATAAATGGGCTCTGCATCAGCCTTGCCTCTCTCAGCCCAAGTAATGGAGTCAGTAAAGGTGAGTGGAAATAAACTCCACACATCTGCTTTGTCCCTCCTACGTGCCTATACTTTTTAACCATTCAGCAAATCATGTTCTTCTTCCCTGAAAGGCCTTTCTTTGTCCAAGAGTAAGCCTTACTCCAAGAGCAACTCTAACAAGGTATTGCTAGAAGCTTGTCAGGGTTCTTTCTGAGGAAGGAAAAAAGGGGAAGAAAATTGAGTGGAAACAAAAGAATAAGTCATGTATTAGAAATCAACATTAAGAAATAGAGGTGAAAACTGATTGCACTTTTATTAGTGGCATTTGTTTTCCAGCTAGATCTCTTCCTTGCTTGATTACAGATATCTATTATATTTGCCCCATTAACATAAACTAATATAAATGTTTTCTCTTTTTTTTTTTTTTCCTTTTTTCTTCTTTTTTTTTCTTTTTTTGTTTGAATAGAGTATTGGGTTCAAAGCCTCAGCTAACTTAAACCCATTTCCTAAGGGATAACTAGAACAATTAATATCTGGAAAATAATGAAATGGCAGCTCCTAGTGATTACAAGCTAACCTCTGATTAATAATATATTTGGTTTAAAATCACAGTATTACTTTCTTTCTATAAGTTAAATTACTTAATGCAGGTTGGCTTTTTTTTTGTTTGTATGTTTTTTGTTATCCTGCTGTAATTAATAGTAGCATGCTGTTGGATCTACTATTATCCCAGTGCTCAAAGAAGCAAACCTTTTGCTGGCAGAGAGCAGACAAAACTCATCTCATATACGGAAAGCAAATAAAAGTTCTCATATAAGAAACTTTTTTTTTTTTTTTTTTACTTTTTTTATCTTTTTTTTTTAATCTTTTTTTTTTCCTTTCTGACTCTGTGTGTGTGTATATGTGTGTTTTTCTGGTGGAGTAGGGTGAGAGTGCCATTACAGGGCTTTCTGATTTCGAGACTCTACAGCAAGCGACCAGAGGGACTTCTGCAATTCTTGCAAATCATACATCCAGTCATTATAATGCAGTGCACAAAAAGCTAGGACAACTGAGGGCTAAAAGGTTTTGCAAAATACTATGGGACAGCCATCATTGTAACTGTACAAAACTTGCTCTCAACTTAACATAACATAAAGGCACCATTGATATCTTTCCCCATTTTTGAAATACTGTAAAAAATTGCTACATATGGCACATAACACATTTGTACATACGTATATTTAATTTATAAAAGTTTTCTTCCCCTCCTGTTTTCTATCAGCGGAATTGCTAAAATAAAATAAATTGTTTAATTTAAAGGTGGAATACTTCATTATATAAAATAAAGTTTTACATGTGAATCTATGTGTTTTATGTTTTATACAGCAATAGGGTCTTGGTTAGCTATCACACTGGACAACCTTGCTTGTAACTCTTCTGGTGTGGAGAAGCGATTTGCCGGGTTAGTCCTGGTTTCAGCCAGCCGGAAGGCAGCGGCTGGCTCCAGACCGGCTGCCCCGGGGTTCGGTATGCTCAGGAATGGTGTATCCTCACCTATTCTTTCATCTTCCGTTTCGGTCTCAGAGCTGCTGCTCTCAGAGCTTGTGTCAGAGTCCACTTCCACCCTGCTGGAAATGTGGCCGTTGGGCTTTGTTCTTTTGACCCTCCGGCTGTTGGTGAGTTTCTTTGGAGGCTCCTGTGCTGGTTCGTACTCCTGCGTGGTCTCGTACTCCTCATCCTCCACGATCCGCAGAGGACTTGGTGGCAGGCTGCTGCTCTCATGGGTGGCATTGTGGTGAAAGGAGTTGAATTGCTGAAGGTGGTGGTCGTACTTCTCATGCAGCTGCAGTGGAGTCACCAGGAGCAGAGGTCGCTCTTCTTCTATGAAGGGACTCACTGCCACGGAAGGGATGGAGATGGTCAGGCTGGAAGCCGGGGGTGACGTCGTGGACGGACGGGACTTGGGAGAAGTTGGAGTGTGAAAATCAACGGGTGACATGCGAGCTGGTGTGGTCATAGCTGAGACATACCTGAAGAAAAGAGATGGGGACAGGTTGCGAGCACAGGAGCAGTGGTGACCTGTAAAAACAGCAGCTCACGTGGACTGGGAGAGAAATGACAGGGATTCCCTTAAGATCCCCAGCATCCTCACACAGGGCTACTAAGAAACCTTTCCTGTATATTAATCCTATAAACTGCTGACTTCTGGGACTCTGGGCAAAAACATATGAAAGCAGGAGGAACACAGCAAAACTCCCAGATCCCAGCCATGGAGATGCTGTAAATTTTTTACCAGAATAACTTTCTGGAATGAATCCAAGAATGGGATTCAGAGACAGACAGGCTGCCAGAAACAAAACACATTTTCAAGTATTTTCTCAAAAGGAAAACAGCTGCTGTACTTCCGGAAGGATTTGACCAGAATCTGGGGTACATGCAAACAGACAGGGGGAAAGAAAGGAAGGGAACTGAAGGACAGTCCTCTTGGGGCTTCACCCTCTTCTGGCAACCAAACTGTCTCAGGCTAGGAAGAAAAGTAATGTTTGAATAAAATATAGAGCCAGATTCTGCTAATTTTAATCACCAAGGGTAGTCAGAGAAGCATTTGTGCTGCTCTACTCCTGGGTGCTAGTTACCCTGGCTGGTAGATCTATCTGCAAAGAAGCACAGAGTATCATTTGTCCTCATATGGGAACAAATGCTGAAAGACAGGATTGTCTGGCCTAGTGCCCATGACTTCTCTGCAAAATTTCTCCCTGTTCTTGTGGGAAGGGTAGTGGTCACAAGTGATTTCTGAAAATGAAGCTCAGGTGCCATTACAGGGTTTGTCCCAAAGAAACAGAACAAAAAATGTGAAGCTCTCAACTAGTTTTAATCAGTAGACATGCTATGAGGTCATGTGGATTCATGCCAGGTGAGGATCTGCCTAAAACCACTCCATCAAAACCACAGTGCCCAGCATGACACTTTGCATATCGGTTGGGCTTTGCTTTTATTCTTATCCTAAATTCACCTGCCCGAATTTCATCTGTGTCTAAAGTTAAAATTGTTCTGAGCACCATCACAGGCCCATTGAGAAAAGCTATATGTCTATGCTTGATGTAGTTATTTAGTTTTCCATTAATGGTTTATTTATCTGAGCCTGAAATTACCAAAATAAACCTGAATCCATCTTTCTTATCCAATCTATGACTCAGTTGCACATATTACACTTGATAAAAATGGAGTTACAGGAAAAGGGAGAAAATGGGACAGTTTCTGGACAGATGTGCAGCAGCATAAATTGATTTCACTAGAGGCACATTGATTGCACATTGATTTACATGAACTGAGGAGCAAGAGAAAGGAAAAAACCAAACCTGGAGTTATGCAAAGGAATTAAGTTGGTTAAGCAAAGGGCAATGAATAGGTCTGTGCACTGGATGAATTAAGTAATTTTTCTGTTTCCATGAGTGAGCTTTTAATTCCTTTCACATTTTTAATAGGCATTGTCTGAAAAACTGAAGCCTTTCTACTTTCCCAGTTGGTACACTGTTGGATATATGTCTTTATGACACACTGGATTTTAGTAAACTGGTTCTGTTAACCTATTGAGTTGGTTAAATGTGTTCAATGTACTGTGCAGGCTTCCAACAGTGTCAAGTTACTCACACTGAAGTGTTGTGCATTCACACATTTCTGGTCTGTTCCCCCACACCCTAACACAGGAGTGCTAACTAGCTGCTGTCTGCAATCTGAGGCTCAGGAGCTGAACTTGTGCAGCTCTAGCCCATCCTGAAAGGAAGGTTAAAAGGTGATTGATTTATCCAGCTTCATGGCCAACTATGCTGGCTCAGTGAAAGGGGATCAGAGCGTACCCATGGCCATCCAGCACACATTAACTTGTTATATGCTGCCAGCTTCATCATATAGTCCAGCCTTTTGTGCAGAGACAGTGTTTTTTGATCTTCTATCCTGTAAGACAGCTAAGGACATCCAAGACAAAACTGCTTGTGCCCTCTGCTTGTGTACACAGGTGGCAGGGCATGGGATCCAGCAAATATATGGGTAATGCAAAATAACCCCTTGTAATGTCTGTTCAATTTAATTTGAAAATTGAGGGAGTAGAGCCTTGGTCTACCAATTCTCAGTACAGCAACATGTGATGGCTTCAGGAAGTAATTTGTCAGCTCCTACATTCCTTTATGTTTCTAAGTAATTTTTAGTTCCAAATAACTCTCACTTTCTCCCTTATATACACAAGCCATCTCAGGAACAATGGGTGATGTATTTCTTGCTTGCTAAAAAAAGATGAGGCCTGCAATTAATGCCCAGGGAACTATCATCTCCCACGTTCCAAATTTGTGTTTGCTTCAGGCACAGGCAAGGATGTCAATGCCTGAGGAATTATCACAGAAATGTTGCTGCTATTGACCTATAGTACAACCTTCAAGAGATAAAATAATTGAGGAAATGCCTTCTTTCTTCTTAGAAAAACAAAAAGGAATATGGCCTCTCCTCTCCCCCAACGCTACCCCCCCAGTTAAATCTAAACAGTTTGTATTAGAATGATGCTTTGGGTGTTCCATGCAATGCAGGCAGACAGCAGGAATGGTCTTCACTTCTCACATGCAGATGCCCAAATATACTAAGCTGTACTACTCACCATTGGCAGGCGTGTGGCCGTGCATCCTGCTGGTTCCCAGGCAGGAGACAACATGGTATTTACTGTTACAGGTCCTGATCCAGCAAAGCACTTAAGCACATGCTGAGCTCTACCCATGTGAGTAATCTTGCTGATTTCAGTGGGCCTACTTGCACAATTAAAAGATAATCTTGTCAAAGTGCTCTGCTGGATAGGAGCCATGGCTGTTTATGTCATGTGAGCCACGTATCTTCAAATTAAATTCCATAGTAAATAACACAAAATTTTTAATGAGAGGGTAGTTTATTATCCTTGGTGGTGGTACTACACTCAGGGTCCTTCCTCAGTGGTCCCTCTTCCTGCTGCTTAGCAGTTGTTTGTGTGGCAGAGGGAGCACCACAGAAATGGCGTTTGCTGTATGTACGCATTCATTTTTATGAAAACCACAATTTGTCTCCTATACAGCTCAGTCTCCTTGGGGATTGCCTGGCTGCATTTTTGGCATCATGGACACTCCACAAGGCCAAATCCCTTGTGATTTCAAAGTCCTCAGAGAACTGCTCCATAACCTTTTGTTTTCCTTTTATTTTGCCTTTAAATAAAAGCTCTTTTTAAATGTCTTGTTTCTTGTCAATCTTTCTGTTGCTATTCTGGGGCCATCTTGAACTAAAATGCTAGCCTAAACCTGAGCAGGATTTTTTCAGGTAAAGTTTTTTGTGACTGATGTACTTCTAGGCAGACCATAGGAGCTGATGAACCAATCTTTTAAGAGAAAAAAAATTACTGGTTGGAAAACTCCTGGCCTGAGTCCTTCTGGCTTGCACTTTGTGTTTCTTGCTTTTATTTAATAAAGGGTTAAGGGGAGTTCAGGAGCTGGAACACTCCAGAAAGTGAGTAGTGGCATAAATTCTATACTGCTTAGGAGTCCTTAGTGCCCTTCTCCTGTGGATCAAAACATTACTTTCTCACTGCAAAATCTCTCAGTCTTCTCATTTGCATCTCTAAGAAATAGGTAAGTAGGCAAAGTTCTGTTTATAGTTTCCAATAGAAATTTCTGACTAATTACTCCAATGGAGCTTTTCCAAGTGCGAACTGCTGGCTAATAGGACTAAATTCAGCAGAGGCAAGAAGAGAAGAAATGCTTTTGGTAAACTTTAAATTGCTACTCAGCTCTCCACCTTTATGAATAAGGAGATGCATGCCCTACATGAACAGCTGGATTGCCGCATTTTCTCCTGTGCTCCCAAGCTTTGAAACCATCTGAGAAAACACCAGATCTTGCCAGCTGAAAGCGATGGGGTGGTGTGTCCTACCTTTCACTGTGAGGAGAGTCTCGGTAGGAATCGGGGGTCTCCCTGGCATGCCGGAGGAAGCTGTTCCCTTCCCGTGGCCCACCGATGCCATTGAGACGGCCCCGGGGCCCTGCTGGGCTGGCGTGCCTGCTGTTCTCCATGGAGGAACTGACGAGCACCGAGTGGCTTTCAGAGAGGATGCTTTCAGTGTGGCCATTGCTCCAGCTGGAGAGCAGCAACCAGGGAAAGAGAAAGGGGGAGTGTGAGAGTGGCCTTTGGCGGCAACTGTGTATGAGCAGAAGTTTAGACAGGGAAAGGAGGGGCTCTGTTGCCACACAAGATATGCAGCATACCCTTTGGCTGGGTAACTGGAGCTGCAGAATTTAGAGAATCCACAGGAATCAAGGTGATTTTGCATGTATGGATCATAGGAGAGGAAAGGAGGGCTTTCCAGTCATTAGAACTGTCACTGATTTAGCAATTTGCATATACTAAAAGTTAGTGTGACAGTATTGGAATGACATTCAGAAAATAAAGGTCATTGTCAATTCCTGGGAAGACAGTTAGGTGATATGACATCAAATATTGTTAGCCTTAAAATGAAAACACTATGAAGGGAGCACAGATCTTCCCTGCTTTGTTGTTTTACACATTTTTTGGTTTTACAACAGCAACAGATCAGATATTACAGCTGCTATTTGCCTTCTCCTCTAGTACCTGTGGCTAGATGTCTGGGTGACTGTCACAGAGTGATGTGTTGTTGAGGTGTAGTGGCTTGTAGAAAACGAGGTCTCTGTTTCTCGCTCGATGACATGCTCACTGGAGATTACATTTTTCGAAACGTACTGCTGAAAAAACCCAGACAAACCTCAGGTTTACAAACTGTAATTCACAGCACATTTGTAGACATAATTCCCAATCCCTCCTTCCCAGATTTCAACCTCTTACATGTGCCAAAGCACAAATTTTGTCATTTAAATACATGCAGAAACCATACTGACACACTTGAGGACATTAATGTACACCTCTGTGTACATAGCCCATCTAGACTCAAAATAGGAGGAGACAAATGATGAAAGTAGCAAAGGTCTGCATCACAAACAAGCTATAAAAATGTAGTTAACAAGGGAACGAGTCCCAGTAGACAGATGTGTGGAAAAGCAACCTCCCATTACCATCAGATACACCAAAAATACTACTCTCTGATGGAGAAGATGGCAGCAGTTTGCGATAGCAATTTTTTCTGTGTGGAGAAAGCCAAGAGAAATCAGTCAGCAGCCTGCAGCAGCAGGTAGATGTTTAAAAGCTGTGGGGTGAGCTTTCCTGTGGCACTGGCAGCCTAGGCTGAAACAGGTACAGTGAAACCTACATTGACGAGCTGGACGTTATCGGGTGGTGGGTTGGGGTGGTGCGGCCCATTGGCCATGTTCATCACGTTGTTCCTTTCCGAGCGCAGGCTCTGACGAAGGCGATCATGCAGCTTTTTCCTCTGCTTCCTGTGCATGAAACACAGAAACAATTTTAATACACAAAAGGAGAGCAGCTGCACCTCTCAGCATATTGATGTTGGTGATAATAATGTAACATCACTTTTTTTGCCAGAATTTTCTCCACTGCTGCTAGAGCTCAGAGTAACTCTGAAAACCACAGGCCTAATTGCAGCTGGAGCTGTGGGGACTTGCACAGGGGGAAAGATATTTGGGATCCCTTCCAGGAGTCAGCAGGACAAAGGGGGACAGGAATAAGTGAGAGGAAAAGGGAAGCCATTTCTAAGCAGTGCTCTGTCTTAGGAGGAGGACTTTTCTGCACTCAGAAGGGAGGGGGGAGAGATTTTAACCCAGACAACACTTTGACAGCTTCACAAGGGCCAAGGCAGAGCTTCTGACAGCCCATCAAGTTATACCTCTCCGTTCACCACAGAGAGCTGAGGTGTCTGTGCCTCAGGGCTTGCTTGCAGACACTGGAACGTGGTCTTTGTGATGTGGCAGTTACACATTTTTTTGGAGGGATTCATCCCCTACCTCAATAGCGTACTTCAAATACATAAATGTGTTATAGAAGAGTGCAGACTAAGCCTCAGAAATCCAAAGTGAGAGTAAATGGCATAGGCCTGAGCCTACACACCTCCTGGCAGCTCTGGAAGGTTTTGTTTCAGCAACACCAGATTTGCTCTGAAGCCTAATGATTACCAGGTGGATGCCATGGGTGCTAATGCATTTAGTAGAACTATCCATGTACTAATGACGTGATCTCTGACTGACTTTGATGCTTCTACTGTCTCCTGTCCTTAGCTGCTGTTTCCCCACTTGCTAACAACGTGTAAGTCCTACAAGGCGTGCCTGAGGGAGCTGGGGTTGTTGAGCCTGAAGAAAAGGAGGCTCCTTCCTGAAGAAAAGGAGGGTTACCTTCTCACTCTCTACAACTGCCTGAAAGGAGGTTGTATCCAGGTGAGGGTGGCCTCTTCTCCCAAGATAGTAGCAACAGGACAAGAGGAAATGGCCTTCTGGGCCAGGAGAAGTTCAGGTTGGACATCAGGAGGAATTTCTTCATGTAAAGGGTTATTAAGCATTGGAACGGACTGCTCAATGGGGTTGTGGAGTCACCCACCCTGGGGTGTTCAAGAAATGACTGGTCACTTAGTGCCATGGTCCAGCTGATAAGGTGGTGGCCATTCAAAGGTTGGACACAATCTCACAGGCTTTTTCCAACCTAAATGTTTCTGTGATTCTGTAATCCTTCCAGCTCTCCTCAGAAGAACTTTTTAGAACCATTACAAGCTGTCAGCAGCAAAACTTACAGCACAGTAAAACCTGGCTATGCAGAACACACTAACTAAAACACCAAAATAAATAACCAGAGAAAGGGCTATTCAATTTCAGACTTAATTTATGAATATTACACAGTTTTCTCTCATTACATTGGAGAACTTCCACCACACTCTCACAGAATCCAGGGCAGTGAAGGGAGGATGCAGGCTTCAACACACTCTGGAATGCATATGACTTTGGCTGTGGCAAAAACTAAAATACTAAGCTGTATGCAGATAGTGATGGCAGGGTAGGACAGCATAAGAGATAACTATTTTCAATCCTGTTTTGAACTCAAGGGGACTATTTTAAGCTTTACAGAAAAGGAGGAGTGAGGAAGTGCAGTAAATATGTTGAAGCTTGATAGTCATGAAGCCTAAAGACAATGAAAACATGATTTGACATACAGCATTCCACATATTTTCTCTGTGTGTATGTGCCTGGATAGTGGAAAATGCTTAATTTATATCACATCACATGAATGGCATATGCAGATACATCTTTCTTGGAAATGCTCCTGTCTCAGAAGGATACACTCTGTGGTTCATGTGGACTTTATGCTTTGAGGATAACCAGGCATCATCTTAGGACATGTAAGCAGTTAAGGTGTACAGAGATATTTGAGCAGTGCCAGGAGATATCTGAGCTACCCAAACACCTCCTGGGCTGAGAAGCAGGATTCAAGCAAGGTTTTAACTTGATTTAAAGCTCCCCTTCATGAGGCTCTGGAGACTGAGAACAATCTGAATTCCTGAACATGGTAGAGAAAGCGAGTTCTAGAAGGAGTCTGAGTTTGTCATCTACAGGACTGAAATCCTGGCACATGTAATCTGGGAATCTGTCCCTAGAAATCTGCATTATTCCACCTTCAGTGACCAGTGTATTTGAATTTGCATGCTTTTATCTGTGCTGGTGGTCCTGTAGTAAAAGGACACTAACTAAAAAAAGAAACTACTCTACAAAACTGAGATGAGAGAATAACGGGTAAGCTAGTGTGTACTTAAGAAGCTTTTATATTCAATGTGAATGATGTGCAAATAAAGTACCTCTGAATTAAGATTCAGTGTCTGAAGCTAATGCCTTGGCAATTTAGTAGCAGTATTTCTTGCAAGGAGACCAACAAAATCTAATCTATTAAGATTATTACATTGGTTGTTCTCCTAACACCATTCCAAGATTTATCCTCGTTTCTGAGTTTTCCCCTATTTAGGGAAAAGAGCATATGCAAATCACCTCACAGATACCAGTCTGGCACCACTGCTGCATTTGGAGGGCCATGTCCTGGCATGGGACACTCATCAACTGTTTTTGAAAACAGTTAACTTTTGGCTCACAGTGATTGCTGATGTCTGGGACAAAAAAAGCATCCAGACCCCTGACGGATTCTGTGGGCTCTTTATACAGAAAATCTTACTTCAGGATCTCAACTAAATGTTTGTTGAAATACATGGTGATGTGATTTCTAAATAGCAGTAACTGATCCGATTTTTTATTACTGTTTCAGCTGCTCCCCACTGACCACTGGCACAAGGTTATGGGTAGGAGCAGCTGTGTGTATGTGTCTGGACTCTTGCTGAGAGGAACAAATTATCTCTCTCCTCCCCCACTTTCAACACATCCATTATTGGTGGGGCTTACAACAAAAACCAACTGCCAATCAGGCCTTGAAACAGTAAATCAGGTTTATACAAACGTAGAATATTTATGATAAAGTCTTTCTGTGTTTTGGTGGGGAGATTTATAAAGGCAGCCAGTAGTTTTGGCAGCAGAAATTCTGCTGATGTTCTGTGTAATTCATAGTCCAGACCGCCTCATGCATGTTTGAGAGTCACCCCCTGTAATTTAGAGACTCGCAGAACACATTTAAATGCCTACTTTTGCATTGAGAGCGCTTTTGTGTTCATTTTTTGGCCTTTGGTGTATAGTAACTTTTACCATCATTAATTGTGTCTCAAGTACAAACAAATTAGGCTTATACATAAAATTCACTGCTGGAAAGCAACGTGATTCCAGGGTTGGAGTTTGTTGCTTTTCAACAGGGGAAACAGCTGAAATGGGTGATAGAAAAGAAAGCAAACAAAAAAAGACAAAAAATTTCAAAGTACATTTGAAGACTGAGAATCTTTCAGATACCTCTCTTAATTTTGCAGTGCTGATGGACATGGAGACTCACACTCATCTGGCTTGGACCAGAGCACCCTGGTCACATGTTTGTCTCTTAAGCTCACCTCTAGAGAAACCCAGATACAACCTTTTGCCCAGAGAAGCTACAGTCAACTGAGAAGGCCCTGACCAACCACCACAGATACAAAATAGAAGAGAAAAGTTTACTTGGTTTTGCAGTAGGCCACCACACACATGATGCCAACTACTAGAAGAGCAATGCAAATGCCAGTTATGGTCAGCACCCGTTTCTGGTACAGTTCCTCAGCTTCTAGAAAGGGACAAAAACAGAGAAAGTCACAACATGGAGGGTGGCTAGGCAAGGAGCACACAGTCAACAGCTGTCATGCTACAAACCACTGCATAGATTCACACAGCCACACCGAGACATAGCCACCACACTTCAGGCAGACTCATTATTGACTGCAAGAACAGGACTACACCACAAACTATTAACACAATACTGGGGATGAGAACAATTACAGAATTACAGTCAAAAGTCACTTTTTTTTTTTTTTTAAGCCAACAAGAATAATATCTAAGAAACAACTTCTTAGTTGACAAACACAGCATTTGCTGGAAATAAAAATGAAGTGTGGTAAGGTAATAACAAGAATTTGCAAATGCTTTGGAAGTTTTGCAAAGACAGCTGGAATGAAAGCCATTTTTACAGGTCTTATGAGAAATTTATTTTCTTATATCTTTTTTGGATTGTTTTCACGTGCAATATCCCTCTGGTCCCACATCAATTTATATCTCAGCTGTCTTTACAGGAGAAATTTTAAAATGCTCTTGTACATTTGAGACATGAGCTTGGCTTGTAATTATATCACCAATGGAAATGAAGACAGCTTTTGAGCTCTGGTCATAAAATTCAGACCCTTTCTCCAGTGCTCCTCCTAAAACACAACAATATCCACAACCAGCAGTGCCTTGTGTGAGAGAAATGCAGAGTTTCAACTTGTTTGTGATCAACAAAGGAACTCTCTATCTAGGGTGGCAGCTTGCTCAGTAATGACAACTTGCTACCAATCTCATTCATCGGAGATATTTCATTTTTATAAAGGTGTTAGTAGCACTGCTAATGTTTGGGCTGGAGCTACTGATGCTTTCCAGCCTTGCTCGTGCTTGGCAGAGAGCAGTGCTGAGTGCTCTGCTGGGGAAATTTTACGTAAGGAGTTCTGAAACACAGGCACATTCTGTGTTGACACTATACAGATGAGGATTTGTGTTCCTGCTGTTAGGACAAAAATGGATGTCTACCTTTACTCAAGTCTTATTTTTGATTAGGCAGTTTAGGCAGAGAGAACAATAGTGATCTGCCATATTGACCACAGTCAGAATACAAGCAGGTGATTAAAAATAAATGAATGAATTAGAACTGCACAGCTTTGCACTACCTTTGGGATAAATGTCAGCATTATTCCTGGTGGAAGGGACTTACATCTGGCTGGTACAGAGGTGCACAGTGATCTCTCACACGTGCCAGGTATCTCTCACGTGTCCAAATGATGTGCTGTCATAAATGACACAGCAGTTAAGGGGAAAATACTCCTTACTGAACAGGGAGTAGACTTCCCTTCTTCATGTTTCCTGAGCTTGTCTAGTTTTATTTTAAAGTTGCTGGGGTTAAGTGGCAAATACTCCATGCAACAAACCAAAAAGCAAAAATAGATCTTAATTTCTCTGATACAATGCACCACAGCGTGGAACAAGTTTGTCTTACAAGCCAAACCCACTGTAAATCAAACACCAGCAAACAGGTCATGAGCACTGTCAGACAAAATTAATAGTACTAATTATTAACAAAGATGGGGGAAGAGGAAAGAAGAAGTGAGTGTGGTAAAACTAGGATGCTGCAAAAATTTATTAAAGAAAAATAAATATCACTCCAAGAACAGAAAGTCAAAGAAGAGAAGGAAGAAATGGCTGAAACTCCAACCAAACCAAACTATGACAAAGAAAAAGAGGAAGGTGAAATATAAGGAAAGACAGGAAAAAAGGGTACAGAAGTCAACTACAGGCCTGGCACAGCATGCTTGGAACTGGAAAAAAACAGAGAGAAGAAATGCTTGGGGACAAAAAAAAAGGTTGAAGCAGAGTGTGAAGGGATTTCTCATACAGCATAACTCCTCACCTAGGCTAGTTAGTGGCACTGGATCCCCTTCCCTTTTTTGCCCCTTCTGAAAGCGCTTATTAGTTAGCCATGGAAATGGTGTATTACAAGGATGTCACAGGAAACAGGAGAATTGTGCTAAGCAATTTAGGGGCTAATCTGAAATGCTTTGAATTATTATTATTATTTTATTGTCATGCTGTCAGCTGTTAGCTTATGAAAGCAAAATGAATAATGACGTATCAAGCTCTTTTTTTTTTTTGACCACAAGGCAGAGGAAGTAGAAGATTAACAGTGGACACTGCTCAGTTTTTGTACTGACGGAAAAATTGCACTGACTCTGGGAAGTTTGGCACAGGCTGAGGCAGTTGCAAATGAGCTGGGCAGCTGGCTGGTGATGGTCTGACTGAGTTTGCCTGTGGGCTGAGGCTGGTTTCATATGTGTGGGACTTTCTGGGTGCTCACTCACTGCAGGGGATGGGGGACGATGAGAGGGAGCAGGGCTGTGGGTGCAGCCCTGAGCAATGCTCCCAGCACCAGCAATACTGCTGGGACTGTAGGTCTTGATGGGCATGGGAAACTAAATCCCTGGATCTGCTTTCATAGCCTTAGTTCCCTCCTGTGCCCTTTGAAACAAGGCCCGAAGGAAAATGCAGCTTGACATGGTGTGCATGAATGGTGGTGCTGCCATGACCTCCCTCAAACTCCAGGAGCAAGGTCTGCCCAGGAAAGCACTTGGGCATGTCATGCCCAGCAAACCAGCAAGCTCTCATGTAAACATGGCTGTGCTCTGGGCTGGCAGGGGACAGCCAAGGCCAAATGAGGGATGCCCAGATGTTTTGCGGGGCCAGTGAGGGTGACAGGGGATGCTGGCAGCTGGGACATGACTGGGATAGCCTGGTCAAGACTTTGCAGATGGCTTGGTGCCTCAAAGACAAGCCTTGGACTCTGTTTAAGGGCAAGAAGAGTTTTGTGAAGAACTCCTGTGGGGCACTTGGGTTACACTACATCTTGCCCCAAAACTGCCTTCTGCCTCTGACCAGTGTTTACATTTATGGAGTCAGTTAATGACACTAAATTACGTATGCTGATTAAACTACCTTGAAAAAAATTTATAGCAGCCTTGCAGGAAAGTCTGTAAAGAATTTTATGTGCAGTGAGAATTTAGGAAAGATTTTACCCTGTTAAGTATTAAAAAGAATTTCAATAATTTTTTTACCCTACAGAATGCTAGGAAAATCAAATCATAATAATACTTAAGTCAAGGTATTACATAAGCAGCCTTTCAAATATTCATATTATGCAATTAATTTCACATCACTCTAATTTATACATAACTGATGATATATGAAGTCTTGAACTAGCTCTGTTTTAAAGTTTTTCTTCTTACATATCTCTGGGGATTTTTAAAAGAATTTAATTCCAAGAGGTTGTTCTGCTAATGTAATTCCATATATAAAGCATAACATGCATGTCAGTTTTTAAAAGGATTTTAATTTAACTCCTCATATGTTAATGTAGCTGTACATCTTCCACTCTTCCACTATAATCTAATACATGTGAGTGGGAATTACTGCTAACTTAGGATAATAATAAAAACAAAAAGAATCTGGGTTGTGAGTGATTTTTAAAATTTGGCCTTTTAATGGGTTTTCCACAGTTCACAGCTTAAGCTAATGACATTTTGTGGGGGCATTTTTAATAAGAACATGAATGAAAACTGCCTCACCATCTGTTTTTTTATATTTTTATTTATCAATAATTATAGGAGATTCCAAACTAAAAGTGACCTGAATTTCAAGTTAGCCTATTCATGTAATGCATTATTTGTACCTCTGAATACAAATAGCTAGTTAGATAAGTACAGTCTATTCATGAATAAGACGTAAAGATCTATTTCTATTATATTTAAAGCTGAAGTGTGAAAACAGTACCCATTGCCAATGTTCTTGTTGAGCTTACTTTTAGAAATATTCAGTTTATTTGCTGACTTGAGGATCTGGAGTCTAGCTGTAAACTTCTACTTAAATTCCTAAATAACTTTCAGTCCACTTTGAGTTTACGGACCTGGAAAGGAACGTATATATTCATATCATTTACAGATATGTATAGGCAATTGGTTTACACATGATGTGTAACCACCAAGATGTGGGTTTAGACATGAAACTTGACTTGAAAATCAGAGCTCAACACTGCAAATTTGCATGATTTTAAGTGGCCATAACAGTTTCTGCCTTTTAATATACTAGTTAGACATTTTGCTTAACACTTAGAGTATTTCCAAAACCTGGCAACCCAAGAAAAACTCACCAAAAGCAGAGGTCAAAACTAGTCACAACTATACAGCAGAAAAAGGAATGCACACAATGCTATGATCACTCCAGTAATTCCTAGAAACTCCTTAAGTCTATTAATATCCTATCCATATTTTGATGACCATTTTAGTGAACTAATCTCCACTAACACTTCGACAAGGGTTGTTGTTATAGCTGTATGATCCCTTTTAAAGCATGAAGAAATTGGTTAGGAATTGAAAGGGGGAAGTGGAGAAAAAAAAATTAAAAGGGGTTTATCTCTCAGGGTCTAGAATCTGCAGGCTAAAAGGAATGATTGTTCCATACCCATAAATTCAATCCCAAGATGCTCTGCCAATGCAGAAAGTTGTCAAAAAAAGAAAGAAAAAGGAAAAAGTTTCAGAAAAGAGCAATACACTGTATTTAAAAATAAATTACATATGAGAATTACAGCTATTCTGTGTCTGCACATGAAACAGGACAAAGGGCACATGGTTATGTGGGCAGTGCTCAAGTGCACCTTTCTTAGCTATGTGACCAGACCTTCTGCAAGGCTTATACACAAAAATATGTATACATGGAGCATCTGAGCAGCCACAGTCTAGGGAACGCAACAGGAACCATTAACCCTTAAAGATCTTACTGAGATGAACAGGGCTGTGGGCTGAGCATGCCATGTACAACGGCTGATTGTTTTGGGAACATGACAGCAAAGGGATGCTCTATGAAGGGCAGCATACCCCTGTAAATGGGTTGTGCATCGCTCTCTCTTCTGACCCTGCTTCTGTCCCCGCAATGTGTACCCTTGCTCTTGAAGGCTGTGACCCAGAGGGGCTGGCACTGATTACTCAGTAGTGGGAGTCTTCTGCTTTGCAAATGGACTGCAGCAGGCCTCCATCTTCTGGAAAATGAGGAGCCAACCCCCTTTCCCTGTCTTTGGACTGTGCTGTGTTGGCAGAACAACTTGTTGACCAACTGTATGGACCCTGGGGTGCAGGAGTCCTGATCCCTTACACAAATCACTGCCTAAATCAGCACACCCAGGCCCCAGCACCTGTGGGTCAAGAGGAACACAGGTTTCCCCCCAGCAGGTACCCTAGGAGACCCTCCCCATGGGGTCAACACCACAGCCATAGTAGCTCTTGCCTTTTTTTGTTCTTGTATGCTGTGAAATTTACATCCAATGATAATTTTCACAGCAAATGGATTTTTTAATGTAGTTTGCACACATGGGGAATGTCAATTCTTTGTTGTCAATCAGTAACATTTTAAGGGTTAAGTACATTGGAATCCATCCAGGTCTCTTCCTAAAGGGCCAGTATCACATGCCTACCTGACCTCTGCTAATGATATACATTAGTTGCATAGAAAGCTTGATTAAATCTTCAGTAAAATGAATGACATGCCCATGCACATATATTGCTGTAATTATGCTTGCTTATAGCTAAGACACCTAGTTTGAAGGTAATTTAATTTTAGGGAAGTCATTCATATCATGCAGTTTCTATTTCATATAATTCAATAGGGAGTTGGTATTTAAAATCAGAATATATTCTGTCTGGAAGGCCTAACAAGAAAACATGCTGAAGAAACATGCATTGCTTATTCAAACCTAGATGTTATGTAGCTCTGACTTATCTACAGTATTCCTAGTTACATTCCTTAGATCTGAAAAGCAGAACATCCCAACACTTCTCATTTTATAAACAGGTGATTATTTTTGATATTTTCCTACTTAGCCTGATATTTTTTCACGCTTTTTACATGCAATGTGGCTTCTATTGAATATTTGTCTCTAGGTGCTCTAAGAATAAATACAAATAATTATTTTTAACAACTCTGTTTTCATTCTGGTTGTGACTGGGGGGGGATATGGCAGTCTTGTAGGAAAAATGCTTAGGAAGCAATTTTTTTTTCACCAAAGTAATTTAAAACTACAACTTGTTGGATATATTGTAGCCTGCTGAGATGCAGGGTCTACGGAACAAGAGGATGGTGCTGGGAAATGTGGAACAGAATCCTTCAGCACTACATGCTCTGTTTATGAGTGGTGTGCCACAGCTGCTGTTGAGGGGGCTGCTGGATTCAGGTGGGTGGGTAGCCAAGGGACATGGTGCTGCCCTGGGAGGGGTGAGCACTACCTCAGGTGTTTGTAGAGAACTTGCACCTGGCAAAGAAAGGACCCATCTGGATCAACTACAACAGCAGAGAGGTCCAGGAAGACCTATTCCAACTCTAAAGCACCAAAGTGTCATGTTTCTTTCTGTGGGTAATGAAAAATGCTAAAAAATATAAGTTCTTCTTCATGTAATTTCAATTAAAAACAAACTCAAATCTCCTAAACTACCAAAGAGCAGAACCCCTGTCTGTTAACAATTTCTATTTAAGAGACTGGGATACAGTCTCTTTGTGACATTTAGATTCCCCTTTGGATCCAAAATCTGGTTCATTTCAAGAGTACTCAGGTTGCAAAATTGGTTTTGAACTTAATGTTTTAAGTCCTATGGCTCCTGTAAAAGTGACAATTGGTTCAAATCTCAGGAGCATGGAAAATCTGTCCTTTCATAATTGAAGTATCCTATCAGAGCAATTTTAGCACTTTGTGAACATTAACTGAGCAGTTTATAGTGAAAACCTGTCTTTTTAAATTATGAGCAAAAGATGAACAATGGAATTTTTCAAATCTGCTTGTTCATTTAGGAGTCTTAGTCTCAGCACACAGAGTGCACAACTTAGGGTGCTGAAAGGCTTTAGAAAATGAAAATTTCAGGTGAGATTGTCTATTGCCCTCATGCAGATGTGACTACTTCTGCATGAGGGTAATAGAGAAATATGTAGAAAATGAGAAATACTGAAGTAGTAGAATAGCTAAAGGCAGACTTTTCAAGACCTGTAGTTTATATGAAAAGGCTGAAAAATCAGGCCATCACACAGTAACTGCAGTTTTGATCATCCTTCTAGAACATCAGAGCTTTTCTCTTGCCCCCTGGAATGCCTCGGCCAGCTTCACTGTGACAATGAGGCAAGGGCCACTATAATCTAAAAAGAAAATTCCTTCCACCCCTCTTGGTACTGTCCCTCTTGCTCATCAGGGATGGCAGGGCTGAAATGGACACTGTTTAAACTGGTGCCTCATGCTGAAGGATGGCATGGACCATGTTCAGGTGATGCCCAAGAAGGGCCACAGCCTGCCCCCAGCCAGTTCTAAATTCACAATTCATATATAACTGTTAACTAGTGAAGTAAGCAAATACATAGTCCCTTTGAGTGAGGTCCTTGGTCCATCTGGGGCATTTGAGAGGACAAGGGGTTCACCTGTGATTAAACTCTAGAGATGTTCCCTCAACCTTCTATTAATTCATGGTTTTATCACTGTTTCTTATCCCAGGGACCATTCTGCACATTGCTGCTGTAAGAGTTCTCTTGCCTGACTACATGAAAATTACCCAAAACTTTTAATGTTAACTCATTACTTTTGCTGTCCACCATTTGATTCCTTGACTTCAAGGGGGAAAATGTGTGAATATTCATACAGAAAATGCATGGAATTGATGTATTTTTGCGACAATTTGTGGACTGCCTTCTGCTGTCTTACGGACCAGTGGTGGATTACGAGTCTCAAAGTCAAAGCAGTCACAGAAAAAGACCAGGGCAGCACTAATAGCAGCTGTGACTGCTATGCTCAAGGAAAGGACACTACAGGGTCTGCCAACCAGACTTGTGAGATGAGTCAAGTTAGCCTTGCACTCTGTTGGGACAGGGCATTTCCAGAATGCCCAGTGGTGCCTTGTTCTCATCTGGCAAAAGGTCCTCAGCCCAGTAGCTTCAGGGCTCTCAAATACCAACTCCAGGGGAGATTTCAGAAGAAAAATTTACTTTAACAGCCAAATTAAGACAGTAACAGTTCATCGGAAGGTACACATGGCTTGGAACCCCACTGACTCTTTCTTTCCAAATGAAGAAAGACCCTTCTAAAAGCAAGTGAAATTAGATAGCTGTATGGTTCACACATACACTTTTGTTTCCTACTACCACTTACGCTGTTTAGCATCTCAGTTTGCTCTGTACTTTGCAAAAGCTGCATCCACAGAACTAACTTAATCATCCACAAAATTGGGTGCAAAATATGAGCTTGGCTTAAAGTCCCAGATGTAACATTTGCCTTTAGAGAACTCTCTAAGTCCTCTGTTAAATAACATGGTCTGGTCTGCCTTGGGCATGATAATAAAAAGTCATATAAATGCTTCTTCATTGATTTTTTTTTTTTTTAGTTAAGTATAAATGTGCCCTCAGTGGACCCTTTCCAAAAGTGTCATTCCAAGATCTTAAGCAGTATAAGAAATCAGATGTTGCAGTGCAGATGCAGGGCAGGCAGAAGTGCCAGACTCTCATAGCCATTGGCTGGGGCTCTCAGGGTGGCCTAAGGTAGGCAGGGGTGTGCTCTCTGACTCTGCATTTCAAGGAGAGGAAGTGCTGACCAACTTAAGTACTAATAACTATGTGTAATTCTTGCAGCAAGGCAAGAACATCTATGCCTTTTCCATGGCGTCAACTTCAGAAAATCTCAACCGGTGTTTTTAAAAATCCCAACCAGGGTTAGGAAACTGAAAAAGAAAGGAAGAAAAACCTGCCTAAACATTTTCTTTTCTCCTAGGTTGGAAAATGAATTTATAATCAACATACAATTCTTCTTTAGTTTTCACATAAAATTCAGCAGCAAACAATGGATCTCATATTTTTACACCACCTCCTTTTAAATTATTATTCTAAGATCAGAAAATCTGAACTGCACTTTCCACCACAATCCACAGAAAATGCCACTTAAATCTAACATTTGATAAACAAATACCGTAACAGCATTAAAATTTTTAGAGCCATCATTACCAGAGGCATTTAAATATAACTCACACGAATAAAGCTTCTAAAGCAGGGCTTAAAATGCACACTTGAGTGCTGGAAGGTCCAGTCCCTAGTCAGCACTCTTGGGATTTATGTGGGTAGCTTCTATGACAGAAAGTATGAATTATGTATAGATGTTTTTCATCCATCAGTATAAGAGAAAACCTGTGCACCTCTTCAGGCTCCAAAATGTCCAGCACATACTTACAGCTTTTTGTCCTATATACCAATGGAAATTAAACTAAGCTGGCTTATAGTCTTTCTGTGCTGGCAAGTAATCCAACAAAAAACCAGTTTCTATAATACTGCTTTTAGATCACATATTCTGATGCCAGGAACAATCAAATGTAAGTAGTACACATGCATTTAAATGTAAGACCTAAGCAATTTTCTTGTACGTTACCTTTGACTTTGCTATAGCCAATGAGAGAAAATAAATATATAGTGTACCTTCTGCTACATCCTTGTCAAACAATAATAATTAGCCCATTTCTCCATGGGAAACCTTATGGGATGTGACTACAGTGCTGATTTAAGCAGTCTGTGTGTGTGCGTGTCTGACACTTTCATTTGGCCGATTAATCTTTGATCTCTTGCACCTCTTACTCACAATATACCCAAAACATGTTAGACCTCATTCTTTAAGTAATGTCTTCATCTTTTCTTTTTCTTTTTTTTTTTCTGTGCTCTCTCCACTGAAGCTTCGACAAGGAGGAGGAAGAAAATTTTGATCCTATTTGGCAAGTACTCACTAGAAACAATGTAAGCACTTCAATTACCTTTAACCTCTAGTTCCAAATGTCATATATAAGTAGAGGACTAGCTACCCATCCTTTGGTTGAGGGAGTGCTGGCCTGTATCGTGACTCTTAAGCTTTTTGTGGCAAATAAAAGGGGAGACTTTCAAAATCTCATTTTTGTACTTTTTCTGCTTGATGTCAGCAGGGAGTCCATATCACACAGTCAGAATTAATTTCACAGCATTCCTAAGCCTTGCATTTCCCCCTACCCTCAATGCCAAACAATCTCAGGATTGCTTTCTGTTATAATTTGCAATTGCTTTTTTGTTATAATTTTCATGCAACAGGCAGAGACAATCAATATTAGGCCTTAGGCAACAAATCTAGTTACAGATTAAAAAAAAAATTGGAGGAAAGATGCAGCGACAAGAAAGCAGCACCGACTGAGCATGCTTCTACTGTGGCACAGACAGAAAAGTAGTGGACGTACTGTAGAAGCTGGCCATTACGTAGTTTTGGCAGCGATCACCAGTAAATTCATTTGGGCACCTGAGAGGAAAAACAAACAAAAAAAATGGTAGAGAAAAAAACAGAGAAAAGAGAAGAGGTGAATATATGCTAAGAAAGAAGCTCCTTCAGTGTCAACTGATATGACTTGGTGAGTTCACTTTCAGAAACTGAATCTCGGTTTAGTGTGTTAAAATAGCTCAGGATGTTGAGAGCAAGTCATTTGCTCTGTGGAAATGTAAAGAAATACCCCCTGCAAAACCAGCCAAAACCAAACCAATCCAGATCAAAATGTGTTTCAAGATCTGAGACAGAAATTCACCATTCCAGAGACCGAGATTGGTTTTAGGATGCTCTTTCCACAAGGCAGCAAGGACACAAGATCTGTACACAGTCATCTCCATGAGTTTGGTCTTTTAGGGTTGCACTTTGCAGCAGTCTCCCAAATAGGAAAACTGCCAGCGTGTGCAAAACAAATGCATCTGTGAATGAATGGAAAGATCAAAAATCACACAAACAAGAAATATTTTGGAGGTCAATAATGCCATGGTGTACAGATTGTACTTCAGAAAATCAGGTCACAAATTAGTGAGTAAAGAGGCCGGTTCCAGCTGAACTGTGAAAACACCAAGTACTATTGATTTTGTTGCTGTAGTTGGGGAAGAAAGCAAAGTTCAGATTATTTTAACATACTTTCTTGGTTTTGGATTTTCATGGGCAGAGTTTCAGTACATCTTGCTCCAGTGAATCCAGGTTGGCACCTAAAGGGCAAAAACGTGATAAGCAATAGTACACCAAAACCACTGCACTAACAGACTTACATCTGCTGGTCTATGGAGTGCGAGTGCATTAAGTGACCTCCTGGTTGGGTGTTAGTGACAAATGATCAGAAGAGAGGCAAGAAAGTATAACCTTTCCAGAAGATAAAACTTTGCAAAATTTACAGCAAAAATCCATCAGAGAAAAAAAAAAAAGTATTTTCCCTTGTCTGTTTTGAAAAAGATAGAAGAATCACGGCTAGCAAAAATGTGTACCAGCTCACTGCTTATTCCATCTCATGAAGGGCCCAGTTTGAGTTCTTTTTTAAAACTTGCAATGCAGTGCATAACAACAATTTACACTGTTGCTTTCATTAGTCACATAAAATCTATGAAAATACCATGATTTTCTTATTTCTGTGGTGGCACGTTGTGTCTTCTGGTAACTTGCTTTGAGGAGGAATAGTTAGTACAGTGATCACCAAAAAGCTGCAAAAATCCAAAAGGTGAGAAGACAAAGTCAGACCCAAAGGGAAGTATATTCAACATGGCTCACAAGAAGGTAAAATAAGTCAGTCCAGACAATAAGTAAAATGAGAGGGCAGAAGTGCTCCCAAGATTTGCAGCCCTGGTGTTATCTGTCCTTCCAGCTTATAAGCTCTTCTGCAAAAAACTTCAGGGCAGCTTTCTCCTTGATCATAGAGAAGGAATTTCTCTTCAATGATTTGCCCTTCTTTTCTGATGCTTCCTACCAATTCTTCCTTCACCTTCATTCTCCATGGTGGGGTAGGGCTCAGGCTCCCAAAATATCACCATAGACAGGCTTCCTGTGCTTCAGACAAGTGTGAATGACTGTCCACCATACTAAGGATCTACAGATTTCAATCCTTCCTCTTTCTCTTTCTTCTCTCCACTCTCACTCAGCATTAACCAGAAATTACCTGATATCTGCTCCTGTGAAAACATTTCAGTTGTGTTGCCTGTCTTCGTGATGCTTTCCGTGACTTTGCCATCATGCAAGAATCTCCCACTCTTTTTCTCCTGTTGATGACATGGTGCTGGCCTCTTTTTCAAATGTCTTCCTAAGTTACTTGCCATGTGCTAAAAAGCCTTATTATTTGCAAATACTTGTTGGTCAGAAGAATCGTCCATTTCTTCTATCCATCTGAGTTCCATGTGTGCTGAAAGCTGTCCCAATATTTTAAATTCTGCTTTTCTACAATTTCCTCTAGCCCTAAAAACCAGGGATGCTGCCCTTGCACAAGTGAGATTTTCAGAAAATCTCTCTGGCAAAGGATCAGCGTCAGGGATAAACACTAGCATCTTGTTCAAACAAACCATGCAGGAATGATATTTGTGTAATAAAGGTATATTTTGAGAATCTGAAGATGATTCTTTGAACCTGATTTGCTGCAATGATATATTTGTTTATTAAGGAAGAGAGTTTGGGTTCTTCAGAGCCAAAGTCACCTCTTTTGGCGAGTACCCAGTGTGGAGAGATCCCAGTCTCCACAGACATATTCAGCTGAGAAAAATGCAACAAGGGTAACTCTGTCTTTAGAAGATGTTTTTGCTAGGCATGACAGAAGACTTTGCACATTTGAGAGAAGGTAAAGTGCTTTTGATAGAAAGAATTTTGATCTGTGTTAATGAATCAGCAATAAAAATATTTTTGCACTACTGATCTTGTTAAATGGCTGTCCCTGGAAAGTTGGCATTTGCTCATGCTTGGCTTTCAGTTCACAGGGTCCTTTACATCTTTGTCATCAGGCTAAATGCTACAAATTCCCAAGGAATGTGATTGAAAGCCTCATGTTTTCCTCCTGCCACTGGCTGCTGGTGGTTGCTTGCTTTGTCTGTACTAGTTTTCAGATGTTGGTGCAGCTGTGGAGGTGATGAAAACAACTTGAGCACTGGTATAGACAATGCAGAAATCACTTCCAGACCAAGCAGGGTCAGCCCTGTTGAGATGGTGCCGAAAACAGCTCCAGTGTGTTTATACTGCTCTGAAACCATTGTCAGCAAATGGGCTGCAGCATCTGCCTCGAGAATGAGCCCAGGGTGGGACAGATGAGAGGAAAGCTGAGATGAGCCTGTCCACTTATGAGGATGTGTGAATGCTAAAGGTATTTCATTGCTCAGATTTGCACTGCAGCACAGTTTCCACAGTTTCCAGTTTGAAAGGTTGTTTCCTGTAGACTGTACTTCTACAATCAGCTTGCTATGGTATCCTTTCCCAAACACCTTTTCCTACTCAAAGTTTTCAGATATTATTTCTTGTTATGGCTTTTTTTTTCTGTATCATTATCCATGTACCATTTTCCTTTAGGACAGTAGCAAAAGTTGAGGTCAAACAACTTAGAGCAAAATGTATATGTTTGTGCTGTGAGAGCTTTGTAATTTTGTTTCTGCCTTAAAAAAGGCTACTTGAACCATTTATTTATTGTATTAACTGGGTAAAGCCCAAATAACAAACCACATATAACAGAATAATTGCTTTTTTCCTTCTACACACACTAGTTGCAAAGAGCAGCATTTGCACATGTTTAGTGGACGCTTCTCAGAACACTGAACACATATCATCAGACTGTTTTTCATCAGGAGGGAAACGGCTGAATTGTTTGTATTTCCATTTCATTCACTGCCTACAAACAAATGCATTGTGGTAGAGAATTTTTTTTTTACCATGGGAAGTACAGTACTTAATAATCCATTTCATGGCCTAAATAAGAACTAGTATTTCTATCCTGTCTCTTGAATGAATACTTCTGGAACTTCTGCTAGCAAACTTGCTGGTTTGAAGAAAATTCTGCCCATTTCTATTCTACAAAGGCCTTTACATGGAGACAGATGTAGAAAATGGCTATATCATTAAATAGTAAATGATCCACTCCTTTGCTGTTAAGAAAAGCAGCAGCACACTTCTGTTAAGACAGTAGCATTTTTTTCATCCAATGAAATTCCATTGTAAATTTCATTTCTTCAGTAATAACAAAACCACTAGAAAAGATGATGTCTGCAAGTCAGAAATCAATTGGTCAGAGTGTCAAGACCTTCATGGTATGAAGCAGAACACTCCAAAAGTGTAACAGATCTTATATTTACATAGATTTTTTCAAGTAAGAAGGAATTGCTAGGAATTTTGAATTTATTGAAATCTTTTTTCTTCAGTGAACCTGGGGATGCATTTCCAACAGAAGAGAAATGACTTAGGAATCCCAGTCTCACAGGAAGCCAGTAACATCCAGGCTTCTTAAGTCTATGATGTTTTCAAAATGTGACTCATGTTTTTACAAAGCTTCTGAAAATTTTATACACTAGTTTATTTAAATAGTCAAAGCTTCCTATTTCAACTGTCCTATTTTGAGAGTGTTTTACTCTGTCTTGGACCTTAATTAAAATACGTGTGGGGAAAATACATGCTACCACAGATGTAGCTGTACATTGCTTTACTACGTCTTCACACATTTCTTGAGCGTTTCACATGGTTACCTCGTGAAAGCAGGGAATTTTCTTGAAGTTCACACTAGTATCCAGAAGAGCAACATCTGATCCTGTCCAGATCATCACTATGTATTTAATAAAACTTTATTTTTTAATATGTAGCCAGATTTTAACTGAAGATGAATTTAGGATTTTTTTTAGTAGAATAGGGGATTTAAAAAACCAGAGATTACTTGGAAAATTCCATGGTTGTTTTGAATCTGAGTCATGTTTTTTTGGTTAGGGATAAAACCAATTTAGAATGATATGGCTCATGCTTTAGAAATTTTGTTTTTGCTCTCAACAGATGGACCATATGGAAAAATGTGAACTTGCTACTGAGGCAGAACTATGAAGAGCAAGTACCATATTTCAAGCATTCTGTTTCCACAAGCATGTTCTGGGAGTAGATTTGTTTTCTTAGAACAATGAAGACAATGTGTAGTGGTTAGATACCTATTTTAGATAACTGGTATGTTAGAATAAATAGTGGACATCTTTATTTTTAAAGAAGTAAGAAGAAAACTAATTTTGTATTTGTATTTGTATTTTGTCCCTTCATTTTCATCCACTTTCAAAGACTCACTTTTACTTCTTATGTAGTGGAATTGCTTTGTTTTACTACACAACATGAAATTTTTGTTCTGGCAAGTATTAGAGGGCATAGCAAGTGGCCCTGCAAAATAGTGGTGGCCCTGACTGTTCTCAGGATAAGAATTCTTCTCCACTGCCTTCTTGTAAATGAGATTCACCCTGTCTAAATTAACAGCTCTGATGCTTTTTCCAAATAGGTCTTGGACCACCCAGGCAGAGGCACATCTGCCAAATCTGGGAATCGTCTTTTCCTTGAAACACAGCCCCAGAATCAAAAGTTATTTCTTGTCCACAATAGGGAAAAACAGCCCCCACTTTATTCAAATGTCCCCAAGATATTTTATTAAAAAATTAGCCAGTCTATAACATCATTACAGAACATACACAGATGTCTGAATTAAAATGAAGACGTCTTCATACCAGTGAAGATGGGATACCTCTGAAACTACCAAGACAATATTTATGATTAGCAAGCCTGCTCAATGCTCAGCTCTGCCATTCACTGGAGTTTTCTGAGCACTGTTTGGATAGGAAGCTGAAACCCACAGGCTCTTGTACATGCTCTGGAGAGTCATAGCAAACTGCTCATCTTGACTGCTGGCTTACAACGACCATGTAAATTTAACACAAATCTTTCTTTCTCTTTCTCAAAAAAGAATCCAACCCACAGCACATATAACTTTTCCATATTCGCTTTAGTTAAAAATGATCCTAAAATTCAATGGAGCATTCATTGCTTTCAGCAGTACAGCAATCCATGAAAATTCAAAGCAAAACAAAGCCCATGATGTGTAGGTAACATCTTTCTACAAAAAAAAAAAAAGAAAAAAAAAAAAGAAAAAAAAAAAAAAAAAAGATGAAACTTACAGGTAAGCCAGCACATTGTGACATTGTGAGGTTTGGTGGGGTTTTGTTGGCTTTTGTTTGTTTGTTTTCCTTTAGAAAAACCTGAATACCAAAACCCCAAAAAACGCCACAAAGACAAACAGTCAATTTCTTCCTGGCCTAGGGAAAGCATCACAGACCTTCACCTAACTCACCTACCAAAGCTATCTTCAAAATTAGTGTTTTTTAATTTTTTGAATTCTTAGTCCAAGGAGACTGAAAAATTCTGCAGTTTCAGCAGATGACAGTCTTCACCAACCACTATCTCTTTGTCTGAAAACAGTATTATCCTCACAAAAGTGCACCCTTTTCACTCACCCCTCTTAGGTACCAAACATGGTACCAAGGTTTAAAGATTGAGTTTCCTCTCAAAATAGTGTGAAGAAGTCCCTATGACTAGCTCATCTTCAGGGGTAAAAGCTACATGACATACAGACAGGAGATAAATTCCAGTGCTGCAGCTCTTCATGGATGTTCTCTGATGCAAGGGACTATTGCAGCAGACAAACACGGCATAACCAGGACCTGAGAAAGGTGCACAAGCACCCAACTAGACAAAACTCATATGATTTCATGAATCAAGATCAGCACACAAAATAGTAACCTCCACCATGACCATGACATTCATTGATTTTATGCAATTAAATGCAACAACAGTTGTGAATCTGGTCTCACCAGAAACTGTTCAGTTATACATCAGAGAATTAAAAGAACAGTTTCTTCTATACAAAGTGTAATATTCAATGCAGTTTTCCACCCCCTCCTTTTCTTCCCTAAATGTAGCATATTTAGTTTACAGTGTCTGTTTCATTTTTTTCTAACATAAGGATCAAGTTGTGTTACTTTGTGCCATATAAACACCAATAGAAGATGCTGTGCCATCACCATGTAGAAATATTTCCCAGTTAGCCTCTGCTTTGTTTCATATGCCTCTGTAGAACACAGAGGTTATTCTTGGCATTCTTTCCACATCCACGTGGTTAAAAAATGAAGAAATGCAAATTCAGAAGAAGACATTTTTCAGGTGCTTCTCTAAAGAAAAAAACATTTGTGAGACCTGATGGCTCCAACAAAAGCAACAGATAGAATTTCTTACCTGCACAGGTATCTTGGGGGGTTTGGGAGGTCTTTAACCATGTAACACTCTCCCCCATTTACACAGAAGGCTTTCTGCTTTATGTCACATTTTGTGAGATGACTTGTCCCAGTTGTAGATGTGGAAGTGGCTGCAAAAGATAAGAATGAAAACACAGATCAGAGGCTGTTTTTCTTTCTGACTGGTAAGTGTACTTCTATGTGAGGGAAGAAGTAATGCTAGGGAGGATATGGCAAGCCCTTTGAGCTCTCTATCTGCTGCTACCATAAGCACTAATCACTTGACCCTGTATTTTGCTGATTGCCAGAGAGAGTGGAGTTTAAATACATACTTCAGAGACACACAATCCCATACTCAGCCTGGGAGGAAGTGAGGGTTTTCCTAGCCCTGTCCATGAAGTGGCCTAAAATTTTTGCACCACTCATAGGTGTTTCCTTGAAAATGTGTAATTTATGTGCAGTAATTTTTATTGCATTAATTGCATTCAAGTGATTTTGGGGTGTGACAGTCATTACCGATTGCTGATACAGTGTCCAGTGATAAGGTCGTGGATGATATTTCCTCCTGGTATTGCCTTGAAGCAGGTATTTTTCAGTGAAGCTTAACCTGAAGCCCTGTGCTTATTCAAGTCCAGCCACTTCCTTCTCTCCGAGGAGAGGGTGAATGGCTGAATTCTGGCTGTCTCTTTTCTTGCTCATAAACGACAGCTGTGACTTTTCTGGATTGACTCTCTAGGAGGAAGAGAGGTTTTGTTCCTTCCTGTGCATATACAATTGCTACCATTGTGTCCACAGAAATCTTTGATCCAGAGGCCAGCCTAGCATCTCCTGCAGTTGGGCTCATCTGCTTGAGATGAGCATGACGTTTTGGGACACCAATGCTGCTAAAGACCATTAGGTGTCTAAATTGCTATTAAATGAAAGCATCACCCTGATCACAGTGTTTTGTAGCTTACTCCCAGCTGGATTTAGGGAATATCTAGAGAAGGCAGGAGCATTGTTTATTTAGCAACCTTTAGGGATGCTGCCAGGGAAGGATAAGCAATCACAGTCTTAGGATTTGCCAATGCAATTTCTGTCAAGGATATGCTCTTCATAAGCTCACAGAAAGCAACTCAACTTATCCCCCCCAAGGAGAGGGATAAGCCTCTTTGGTGGTGATGGTCTGTCCAGATTGATTGCAGGTGAAGCTTAAACTCTTGACAATATGCCCATACATTTTAAATGGCTAAAACTAACTGAAGTGACTACCTGCAAACTGTAAAAAGTGGTGGAGATTCTTGCATGATATTTGTTTATTTCCAGACATACAGAAGTTAGGAATTTTGCTACTGTGATAAAAAAAACTCAATATTTTTGTTTCTGAGAGACAGTTTGTGCCCTGAGGTGAAACAATGCTACTGCCTATTGACTGATTTCACTGGAGTTGACTAGAAAGCTGCAAATACCTACAGAAAAGTTGTCTGATATTTGAAACCTTTTCTAACACAAAGGCACCCAAGGGGTATGCTTATAATAGGTGATGTGTGACATTCTACCATTTCCTGTGCACACTGAATCTGAAGAAAACATGGTTTTAGCAGATCAACTATGAACAAATACCACTTATGCATTTCAAACTATAGTATGATACAGTCCCTGTCACATTTCACTTTTATGCATTTCACATTATCTTCCAAGTAAACACATATTTAGCACTCAGTACTTGGGCGAGTGCACTACCTTGCCTTCTTTCTCTTTCTTCCATGCTGCTTTGCTTGTATAGGGTGCTCTCCTCTAACAGGCCAGGAAAAACCCTCCATTGGCCTCCAAAACTGAAGCTCCCTTCTACTTCTCACTTGCATCCACACATTGTTTCACATCTCCACAGATCCTGGTCTTGACTGGGGCCTCTTAGTGTTAATGAAATGCAAACATGGAGTACAGATTCCTCTTAATAACACATTCCTTTTTCCTGGCCCCTCAAAGCATGATTTATATCCTCTCAGACCAGGATAAATTAATGTCTGGTCTAGGGGCAGGAAAAGGGGTCATGTTTTAAGAGTAGTCTGACACCCATTTAGCTAGCACCAGTTCAAACAGGACTTTGCACCCAATGTTGACAAAAGGCTGGCCTACAGACTGCCATCCGCTCAGCAGTGAAGGGTCCTCTATATCTGATGTCAGAGGCTTGACCACCATCCTTGAGGATCTCCCCTCCCTTAGGATGGGGCGATTTGCCTTGTAGAAGAGACTTTCCTTCTCTGCCGGTTTGAAAGAAGCATGGATTATTATCAGAAAGGAGATGCCTGACATGACAGGCTGTGTCATACCATGTTCTAGGATGTAACAACGGGGGTGAACAAATTCCATCTGCATAGCTAATGCATACTTTGAAGCCTTTGTGAGTCTCAACATGCACACAATATTAAGCTTATCACTGCTGATAAACTGTCCACCCCTTAATAAAGGACACACTTCAAGCTGTGAGTCAAATACCTGAGGATGTCCCTGAGCTCAGAAAGCTAGTGCATTAATTTGAAAGGGGAAAACCAGCAATATTGTCTGCAACATTTTTGAAAAAAAAAAGAAACACCACCATTTTGCTAACCTGCTGGCTAATGTAATGTTTTAAATTGAACATTGAAGGTAGATACCGTAACAAGTGGACTTGTAGCTATCTGTAATTGCTCCATAAACTCACTTACTTGCTTTTTCTTTAAGCAGAAGTTCAATCAAAACCAGAACACCATGGAGTTTCAAAGTTACCAGTGATTTTCCAACTGATATAAGTCAGATTTGGACAGCAGCAATTGCTCTGAACTGATTATCAGAGATGGGAATAATCTGCAGCTCTCAGAGGAATCTTATGAGACAAGGGCTTCACATGTATTTGTGAGGAGTATCTTCACCCATGTTTTGGGCATCACATGTTCAAAACTGTTGTATAAATCTTGCACAAGAAGTTTCTCTGCATTACTGATCTGCTGGCACCATAGTCCCTGTCTGTCTGAGCTTTGTAATGAGTTGAGGGGAGGAAAAAGATCTACCAGGAATTAGTTATGATATTAATTTTTCTTTGCAAAGAATGCATAGTTTTTATGGCATATGGCCCATATTCAGTGTATGCACTGTAAGCCTAATTGCCAATTAAATACAAGAAACACTAACTATGGGTTTGGGTTTCACTTAAAACCACATAACAGAAGAAATGTTGTGTTTGGGAGCAGGTGTTCATCAGAGCCATTTCATATAGCCCATAACTAGACCCAGAATATGGCCTTTCAGTACATCTCTAGCAGACATGATCTCGGAAAATGTTAAGTGGGAATGACCAGCAGTGATGAGGTAAAGCAGACAGCTGTAGAATGTGTATCTGTACACTGTTAATTCTCCACCTAGTCAAAATTTGTACCTACTTTCTTTTTTTAAATGTTTTCTTCAGCTATACAAGCACAAGAGAGAAAAGCTTTTTTTTTTCTAACACAGCTTACTGCAAGGACTAAGTTACACACAGTACAGGTAAATATCATGCATGAGAGAATATCTGAAAACACTCCCCTCTCCTTTCTCTGAAGGCAGAAACACCATATTTAAAAAAGCAGCTGCAGGCAGTGTGAACAAGGTCACTACTTGTAGAGCAAATATTCACACGGCAGTGAAAAACAATGAGATTGGCTCCCATTCATGGGAATTGCCTAAAGACATTAACAAGAAGAAAAATAGAAGTTATTCCGTTTTACAAAAGCAGTTCTATAAAAGGTGAATTACTGTTGTAAAACTACCTTAGGTTCATTTCATGTCAAACAGAAAAAACTTCATGTAATTCTGTTCTTACCTGGGGAATCTCTGACCCTTTTTTTCTGGTCTGAAAGAAAAATGCATTCTCTTTCTCTCTCTTACTTTCCAAGAAACCCTCTGATGTTTACTGGCTACAGCACCAAGACTCCCAGACCATGCACAGACTAGACGGTCCACTGAGAGGAGCCCTAAGGGATCTCTTACTCAATTGAGACTAAGAGGGAAGAGCTTTGCAACCTAAACAGAATAGTATCCATGCCTTTTTGAATTGAGTTTCTGCAAAGGTGGTGTAAAATCAGAGGACACACTCAAAGTCATGCAAGGTAGCTAGTGAGATGCTTATGACTCAACGGAGGCAAAGTGGCATCTGCAGCACAAAGGAAAGTTTGCCATTCTCACTGGAAGGCCACTTACTGGAGGTAAATATGCCGCCTTATTGGACTGCATATGGATATCTTTCCAGTCCCCTTTTGTGAACCTGTGGCTCATGCTGTTGGTGAGAAAGGGACCTGCATGGAGTGAAGGACGGACAGAGGGACAGAAGGAGGTACACACAAACATTCTTTGGGGCAACAGAGTGTCTGCTCCCAGATGAAAGCCATTTTACTAACTCATATCCCTACACTTGGAAGTTCATTCATTTCTTTGAAAACACAGTCCAGCTCCCTCTTGACTTGCTGATAAGCAGTTTAGCGATGCACATCCCTGATCTGTAGGGTAAGTTGATTCCCTGTGCAACCTTGGCTGGAGCACTGTATCTCCATGAAACCACTTACACTTTCTTCCTGCTGAGTACTGAACCTCTTCAACTCACTCTGACTTCCCTGATGAATCCAACTTGCAAGGTACTTACAGTACAGAAAAGCTTGGCATTTCTGTACTGCACTGAATGAGGAAAGCTGCTGGTTCCAGCGTAACTGCGGGCAGCAGAAGCTATATGTGTACTTTCAAGGAGAAGAGAAGCCAAAACCTGAGAGCAATCAAAAGTTAGGCCCTTTCTGAAGAGACAACATCACAAGACTTTCCATTTTACCAGGTGTGTAAAAAGATATATTTCATAAAGTCCTTCACACTTAATTGTTTCAGACCTCAAACTGCATTCATGTAGCTGTGAACATACCAAAGGTTTAAAAAACACTACCAACACCAACAGATAAACACCAGAGGAAAAAACCCTCCAAAACAACCAAGTCTTTATATAAGACATTTACAGTCTATTTCATGGGGCTGCTCAGAATTTTTCACATTGTTTTTGTGATTTAATACCCTAAACTGGCTGTTCAATCCAGTTAAAATTTTTTTCAGCTTCTCTCTTCACAAATAACATACAGTGTAAGAGATTCCTGGGACC